TCATATTTTATTCTTTTTATTGCACTATTGTTCAGATTTTATTCTTTTTATTGCACTATTGTTCAGATTTTATTCTTTTTATTGAAAATACATTTTTCATATAATATATTCCGATAACAGTTTCTTCTACACAAATTCTTCCTCCGTACTTCCTCTCTTACGCAGGATTAGTCTCTGATTAGTAAACAAATAAACATCTAAGGAATAATAATAAAATAAAGTAAGATAAAACAAAAACAAGTCAGAATAGGACAAAACAAACAAACAGAAGAAAAAGAGCAAAAAAAAAAAACCACAAGAAACACAGATATAAACACACACGTTACACACACACAGGACTCCCGTAAAAACACAAAGCACAATAATACATATTCAAAGGGCCTACAAGATAAATAAATGACTAAATAAATGCCCTGGCACGGTATTATAAGACAAAAATCCTACAAAGATACCAGAGTTCATTTTGAGTTTGAAAATGGGGGCTACCCTTAAGGGTTTGTTTTTTCCATTTCCAAGTGGTTATCAGTTTGAGATTATCTTCTGGGTTAGGAATTGGGTCATGTGTCCATTTGTCTTTTTGCCTCTAGGAACCCATCTGGCGAAGACCTGTGCATGCCTTGTACATGTCACCACAGTCTCTGGAAATTAATTTGTATGTTGGTCATTCTGTGGTTTGAAAGTCTTGTTTACTTTGGGGTCTTCCATCCCCTCTGGCTCTTACATTCTTTGTGCTTCCTATTCTGTAGAGTTCCCTGAGCCCTGAAGAGAGGTGATTGATGAAAACATTCCATTTAGGGCTGAGTGTTCCAAGATCTCTCACCCTCTGCACATTATCTGGCTATGGGTCTTTGTATTTTTTACCATCTGCTGCAGGATGTAGTTTCTTTGATGATAGCTGAGCAAGGCACTGATCTATCATTATAGCAAAATGTTATTAGAAGTCATTTATTGCTATGTTCCTTCAGCACAGTGTTCTCAACCTTCCTAATGCTACAGCCCTTTAATACAGTTCATGTTGTGGTAACCCCCATCCATAAAATTATTTCAGTGCTACTTCATAATTGTAATTTTGCTATTGTTATGTATCACAATGTAAATATCTGTTACGCATCCCTTGTGAAAGGGTCATCTGACCCCAAAAGGGCTGCAACCCACATGTTGAGAACCACCAATTTGGCAAAACAGTAGTATTTTATTTTTCCCTTTATCCCTAGCCTATCTAGTGTCAGGGTCTTGGCAGTTTTGAGTATGGGTTTCATCTAATGGAGTAGACCTTAAGTCGAATCAGATCTTGATTGGTTACTCCCATAAGCTTTGTGCTATAGTTGCACCAGAGTAGATATCTTACAGGCAAGTCACCATTGCAGATCAAAGAGTGTGTAGCAGTATTTGTTTTTACCTTTATCTTTTGGTAGCATGCAGAATACCTTCCAGTATTATGGACATTATCAGTCCACAGAGGTGACAGCTCTAGTAGACACCAGGCATTTTCAATGAGTTTTGTAGGTGTTATCTTTAGCAATAGGGCCAGTTTGTGGGGAGCAACCAATAGCTTTGGCAATAGTATGGGTTGTTTGGGAGTGCCAGTGGGACCCCTTTGGTCAACAACTCAATTATGTGTAAACCTTCCCAGGTAATAGAAGCTTCATTTGGGTACAAGAGATGTCCAGTAGGGATTCTAACTTCTCGTTATTTGGAGATTTGGATTCATTTGCTCAACTTCATGTGTATACACTTTCGGAAACTTTTACTGTATTAGGTTTCCATATGACCCCTCAAATGGCCCTTAGTTTTTGATGTACCTCCTCCTACTCCCCTCCTCAATTCCCTCTTCATTCCCCCTGCACATTTGATCCTCCCATTGCAGCCCAGCCATTATCCATCCATAACTATCTATTCTATTTCCTCTTCCTGGGGAGATCCGTCTCATCCCCTAGTCCCTTACTCTATACATAACCTCTGTGGTTATATTGATTGTAACTTCCTTATATGCCAGTGACCATGTCAGAGGAGCAGTCGGTGGCGGTTGAAGTTCAGGAAGTAGGCCTACCAGGAAGTGAAGCTCTGATGGGTGAGTCTCAGAGAGGTAAAGCCCCAAGAGTTCAGCCCCAGAATGTCTCTTGCTTCTGCTGGGCCTTTACATGTTTGCCGATGTCACTTTTCCCTGGTATCTGGCATGATATGAATGGGTGTGGGAAGAGCCCCCACTACCTTTAATGTGATGCAATTATCCTATGGAAATATCCTGCTCTACTGGGCATTGTTGTCTTTTATTATGAAAATGATTTCCTCCTATGGTGTACTGTTTAACTGAAGCAACGATTTTATACAATAATAGCGGTAGCTTAAATAGGACTTTCAGGACTGAGGGTCTTTAATAAATAGAGGTTAGCTTAGTGGGAAAACTAATGTAAGTAAAACCATGACATAGTGTTGCCTCTCACCCCTGATAAAGCAGGGGCTGCAGAGGATAGAAGATAAGAGCAAGGGATTATCATATAGTAGTTTCTCATGAGCAATCATATAGACTGGCTTAGGTTAATAACTAAGAAAATAATTGAGCCCCAGAAGCCCAGCTAGCTCAAATTCTTTTAATCTTAATGTTGAGAGATATGTTCACAGGTTTCAGTGTGCAACATATCCAAAACAAAGCTTTAAAATATAAATAAATGTTAAATTAAGATGTTTTGTTAATAGCTTTGGGGTAAAAACTGCAAGGAAACAATTTAAAGTTTAGAAAGGCATATAGTTGAGTGAGAGACTCCTTGAGGTCAAATAACAAGAACAAAGCAGCCCAGTTATTATTAGCTGACATGCTTTTCTTGCTAGGATTGGTTGATGATCAAAGATGATGAATAATTTCCTTGTGCCCCTTTCTGCCATCAGTTTCCTGATACAAAAAAAAAAGTGTTGATGAATGGGTATACACCTTGAGGATTTAAAGTAGATATGACATTATTTTTCATATATAAAAGTTTAGGCTTCTGATCTTTTAAGGTTCCTTATAAGATTATCTTTTGAGATAAACAATAAAATGATTGATCCTTCCTTTGTAACCACAAAATGCAGCCTGCCAGCAAAAGAACTGGCTGAGAAAATACCTTGCTTGCTTCTTACAGTCTGCTAATCTATAAATTCTTATGACAACTTAGTTTTTACTTATAATACATAGAATGTTTAATCATGTAAAGGATATAAAAAACTTTTTCTACCTGTATTCATTCACTTGAAAAATAGAATGTAACCACATTGTAACTTTTATGTTGCCTGAAATATTTTGCTGTGGTATATGTTATAAGGGAAAAATAGTTTAGTTACAAGAAAGACATCAAGGCACACGCCTTTAATCCCAGCACTCAAGAGGCAGAGGCAGGCGGATCTCTGTGAGTTCGAGGCCGGGCTGGACCGACAGCCTCCAAAACAATACAGAGAAACCCTGTCTCGTAAAAACAAAAACAAACAAACAAACAAAAAAAACAGAGAGAGAGACAGAAGGGATATATCTGGATAGAGATAGGAAAAAAAATAAAGAACAGGAGAACAGAGAAAGGCTCTAATTGTGTGTGTGTGTGTGTGTGTGTGTGTGTGTGTGTGTGTGTGTTTTCTATTTTTTCACCAGCCCCAGAGAGTTAAGTTAAGGCCCCCTCATGGGCCTCAGAGAATTAAGTTTTACTCCCTCAGAGAGAAAAGTCAAGATGAGTCATAGTCCAGTGACTGTTGGCTCCCCCTCACACCCTACCTGAGCAGCTGGAGGCTGGTCCTCAGGGCAGTGGTACTTATCAACCACCTAACAGCTAACATCCACATATAAATGAAAAAATGCTATATTTGTCTTTCTGGGTCTGAGTTACTGTACTCAGTATAATTTATTTATAGCTTCATCCATTTACCTGCAAATTTCATTTTTCTAATGACTAATATTCTATAGTGTAAATGCACCACATTCTTCTGTTGATGGATATCTAGGTTGTTTCTGATTTCTAGCGATTATGAATAGAGCAGCAGTGAACAAGGTTGAGCAAGTATCTCTGTGGTATGTAGAAAAGCCCTTTAAGTATATTACCAAGAGTTGTATAGCTGGATCTTGAAGTATATTGATTCCTGAATTCCTGAGAAACCAGAACACTGATTTTCATAGTGGCTATACAAGTTTTCACTTCCAACAGCAACAGATGAGTATTCCTCTTACTCTACCTTCTCATCAGCATTGAGTTCTTATTTGTTTTATTGATCTTGGTTACTTTGACTGGTATAAGATGAAATTTCAAAGTAGTTTTGATTTGCCTTTTCCTGCTGGCTAAGAATGATGAATATTCCTTTAAGTGCTTCTCAGTCATTTGAGTTTCCCCTTTTGAGAATTCTCTGTTTAGATCTGTGCCCAATGGCTTTGCACTTGGACCTTGCTATGCCAGGACATATATAAATCAAGAATATCAAGAAGGGAAGAGAAGTCTACAGTCATACCACCCTGAACATTTCCAATGTTTTAGTGTGTGATTTGTTTATTTTTCAAGACAGTTTCTCTACGTAGTCCGGGCTGTTCTACAACTCATTGTGTAGACCAAGCTGGCCTGGAACTCACAGAAATCCACCTACCTCTGTCTTGAGTGCTGAGATTAAAGGCATGCACCACCACACCTGTCAAAAAAGGAAGGGAAACAGGGTACACTCTCATGCCAGATATGCTTGAGATGAAGTCATCCTTTGAAGTTTGGTTGGGAAGAGATTTAGGAGCAGAGAAGAGGTATGGGAAGCAGTTAGAGTACAAATAGAAATAATGTCAGTATAGAGCCCCAAAGAGAAGAGGATGCCTCTCTAGGTCCTTATTCATCAGCCTGATGATTTTGAGGAACAAGACATGGGGTTCTGCTTTAGACCTTTCTAACTGCAATCTTAAAAATAAAGGTTCGTCACTGACCACAAGAACTCTGTGACCAGCCCCCACATTTACACGCCCATACTTACACATTCAATTGCTCCATGAGTCCTGGGGGAACAACTCATTGTCATTCACATGGTTCAACTCAACTCCACCCAACTAAAACCTACGCAATCCGTGCAGGGCAGAGCTCCTTCTGAGAAGACTAGAACTTTACTGGAACTGTAGCAGAGAGGACAGAGAAAATACCTGTAGTGAATTTGGATCCCAGGAATTGGCCACTGGTGGGCATCGTGGTGCTTCATAGGCAGTCAACCATACAAAAAGAAGAACTTTACACCCTTCTTGTCCAATATAAAACCAGAGTCCAATTTCCATCATTTCACAGGAAGCTAAGAACTTCTTACTTGTTCGGGAACTTGAACCATGAATTCATAGAGATTCTCAAAAGTACGGAAACTAAGTCTGTGCGGACAAAATCTTCTGGAATCAGAGTAAGTGGTTCTTGTCTTTTTTATGCTGCTAGTTACTATGAAGGGAAATTTTAAGGGCATGAATGAATGCAGCTCAGGGATCCTCAACAATGGACAATGCTTTGAGAACTAGACAGATCCGATATACTCTATTGCTGCATCTGTAAAGCAGTTAATACTCAAGAAATTCTGAAGATGCTGGATGTATTCCTAAGGCTGGATGTTTAGGTATAAAACTTTTTCCAGAGAGTAACATTGACAATTTTTTGTTGATGATTAAGAGAGTGAATCAGTATAAAGACTCAAGAAATGCCTTTTATGGAAAATGATTTTCAAAGATATCCTTGCCAAACTTCTTCATATAAAGGCCAACAAAATATGGCATATGAAGAAATCAGAAATAAAGTATATATTAGTGAGGAAATGATTGCAAAAGCAAAAGTGACAAAATAATGAACCAATTTTGTAAGATTAAGATAAAAATCACAAAACTGTCTTGGAGGAGGTAGAAAGTCACCATCTAGAGGTAACAGATGCATAGATGGAGCCTTGGGATACATTTGCTCTACTGTAATATGATGTATGTTGGTTTTATGCAGAAAAAAGCTGGGTATGACTGATTGTAGCAAGTACCCATCTTGTCTTTCCTTCCATGGGTTGGGAAAAGGTGGGAGAGCTACAAATTTTCAAAGAATAAGAAACCCTTAGATTTTCATAGCCATTATTTTCTGATCTTAAAATTATTTACATCCCACACAGCATGAAGCTCTCAATTCCTAAACCAGTGAAATCATATACTGGTAGCAAATAAGTACAATGGACTCACATTAGGTTGCATGACAGCTCTAGGTTATTCAACCAAGAAGACCTAGGTAGTGAGTTGCCAGGAATTATAAAACACTGGCCCCTGCAAGAAATGGAGAGCCATGGTTGGTGATGTTTGTGGACTTCTATGGTGGACAGTTACAAGTTGTCCACATGCTACGCTGAGATGGAACAGATACACACAACTGACTCTTATAAACCACAACAAGCATCTGGCATCACCCTGGGCCTGGGTACTTCTTATCGTCTCTTCCCAGACACTTCACAAATGAATAAGCTACAGGACACTATTACTGGAAGATTCCTGGCTCTGAGGATACACATGAACACTGTGAAAGGGCCCTGGGGCAGACTTCTGCAAGCAGCTGCACAGGCCTGGGAGAGTCAATGACAACATGGGCCTTCTGCTCCTCCTCCACCCACAGCCAGGGTCAGGTCTTCTTAGCAGCAGTGTGCCCTGGAACTGTTGCAACCTGACAACTTAGGGAGAGCAGATAGAGCTGGGGTATCTCAGTAGGCAGATGGCTGCTGAACATGGCACCTGACAGTGTTGAACTCAACCTGCCTTCACCTTGGCTAGGATGCCAAGGATCTGGGCTCCTGAGGACCACCTAACCGCAGATGATATTGCTCCCCCACTTTCATTGACTCTACTGTACAGTTTCCAGCCTAGCTGGAAGTCCTGATTGCTAAGCTGAGTGTCTTTCCTCTTCAGTACCAGCAGGAGCAGCTGAGAGCAGAAATCTCTGCCTCAATCATCCCTGACTGCTAGTTTCCCCAGGGAGGGCTGACAGTGAAGACAAGGAGGAACCACAGAGACAGAGCTGATAGGAAATGAAGGCCCTCCCTTGCCATTTCAGCAGAATAGTTTCCCCTTCCTGCCATGTGCCTTAATGTCCAAAGACCACTGTTCAGGTGTGGATTTTGTAATCAGGAAACATTCACTAAGGACTCCAGAAGGGAGAAAAGTAGAAACCCAGGGTGATCACAGGAGAGGGTGAAGCATACTTTAATGATAGGTGTTTGGTTTAAATACTAAAACTCTTGTCAGTAACAACGTACTGAAGTGCTTACTATTTCTCAGGTTTTGGGGGGGGGTTTATTTCTTATTTGCCACTTCTGTATATTTAAAGGATACAGGGGACATTTCAGTACATGTGCACAGTGTGTTATGGTCAGCCAGAGTAATGGGATGTCTCTGGATACTTGAATACTTCAACAATCCTCTTTAGCTATTTTGAAATATCAAAGTATGTGTTATCAGCCATAGTCACCTTACTGTGCTACAGAGCATGAGAATAGCCCTGCTGTCCAGCTTCAGCCCTGTCCTGTTACCAGTCCTCTCTCCACCCTGATCCCAAACTCTCCTCAGGCTCTGTAATCACAACTTGACTTTCTAATTCTGTGAGACCAGTTTTCTAGAGGTTTGATAGCATGTTTCATATGGAAGAACTGTCATTGACAATCTAGAAAGATCACTTTCTATGTTAGCCATGAAGAAACCTAGAAGGACAAGAAGGAATGCAGACATTGTGGTCAGGGTGTCTGGGAGTGACAGACTTTAGAGCACGACCACTGCATGACAGCCAGGTCCCTGATAGTCACTGTCTGGGGATGAAGGGACATTTTTCACATGGCTGTATAGCATCTTTGCAAGGTATGCCTTCCTTAATCTCCCCCATTCCAGATTAGGAACTTAGGCTCAAAGAAACAAGTTAATTCATCCAAAGACACACTACTAGCATGTTCCAAAGCCCAGGAGGATAGTTAAAAAATCTGACTGGAAAGAATTCAAAAGATGTACAATTGTACATGGTGTGGAAGTTCTACTGTGGCAAGAGATCTATTGGGTCTTTTGTTTATCTCAAGGCAATCCTGGTTAAATAATAATAATAATAATTAATAGTTAATAATAACAGCTCAGAGTTCATTTCATCAGAATCCTATCTTCCATGTAGCTCCTATGAGGAGGCATCACCTTTTGGATGCAGGCATCTCTTCCTCCCTGAGCCATTTTTCATTTCTGTCTCCAGGTCATGACCTCCTTCTAGCCTTCTCTTGGTACTCATAGAGATCTACTGAATTAACTGTAAAGCTACCTATACCACATAAAACCATGTGATATGTATCAACCTAAGCCAAACAACCAGTATAGTACCTTGAGTTTCAGTGTAAAATGTGATAGGTTGTTCTAGTAGGAATTTGCTAGATTGGATATACTGATATTGACATAGAATGATTTTTTTCCATTGAAGACCATGCATTGCCACATTACCAAGTGAAATTAGCATCTTCTAGTCTTTTGAAGAATAACATAAGTAATCATAGCTTTCCATAGCTATGAATGTTTTATTCTTATCTAGGACTATCCTCCTTCTCAGAGTTGTCACAGAGACTCCACTGGCAGAGCCCACACTGTGATTAGAGGCAGGAGAGTCCCATAATGGCAGTGCTGGAGTTGAACAACACACTCATGGCTTGTGTTCTGTGTCTTGTGCCACATTCAGTAACTTGGGACAATGTGAACTTGTGTGTGATCACTTCTAATATCTTGTACCACACTGCAGTATCCTGTAGCAATATACACCCCCTTTTCATTCCTCCTAAAATAGATCAAATTACCCCCATTAACAGGTGTTGAACACTAAGTCCCAACTCAGCTGCTTGGGGGTCACTTAGAAATCCTTAGTTACAACATTGAGATAAGGTCCTCTTTTGTGTTTGATCCATTGAACTTCTTACACAGTCACTCTTGAAATAATTGAATGAATCATTTACACACTCATTTGTTTGTTCTGTGCCCCTCTTAGAGAATAAGGCCCATGTGAGTAGAAAGTGCAAGAGCTCCTTGTCCTCCATTCATCCCTAGGATTTTGTAACCACTAAGCTTCAATCAGGAGTTTATTGCTTAAAGAAATGTAACCATTGTCTTGTCTTTGTTACCCAGATCCCTCTGTCTTTAATACAGAAGCCATCATTCCTGATTAGTCCCTGATGGAGATTTCAGCGATCACAGAAGACTACTATACAACCACAGAATTTGACTATGGTGACTCCACTCCATGCCAAAAGGCTGCTGTAAGAGCCTTTGGGGCTGGGCTCCTACCCCCCCTGTACTCCATGGTGTTCATCATTGGAGTAATAGGCAATGTCCTGGTGGTTTTGGTGCTCATGCAGTACAGGAGACTTCGAAGCATGACCAGCATCTACCTATTCAACCTGGCCATCTCTGATCTGGTCTTCCTCTTCACTTTGCCTTTCTGGATTGACTACAAGCTGAAAGACAACTGGGTTTTTGGTGATGCCATGTGTAAACTCCTCTCTGGGTTCTATTACCTGGGCTTATACAGTGAGATCTTCTTTATCATCCTTCTGACGATTGACAGGTATCTGGCCATTGTCCACGCAGTGTTTGCCCTGCGGGCTCGGACTGTCACTTTTGGCATCATTACCAGTATCATTACCTGGGTCCTAGCCATCTTGGCCTCCATTCCCGGCTTATACTTTTTCAAAGCCCAGTGGGAGTTCACGCACAATACCTGTAGTCCTCATTACCCCTATGACAGCCTGAAGCAGTGGAAACGGTTTCAGGCTCTGAAACTGAACTTCCTTGGGCTAATTTTGCCTCTGTTAGTCATGATCATCTGCTACACAGGGATCATCAGCATTCTGCTCCGACGACCCAGTGAGAAGAAGGCCAAAGCAGTGCGTCTGATATTCGCTATCACGCTTCTCTTCTTCCTCCTCTGGACACCCTATAATCTGACTGTGTTTGTTTCTGCTTTTCAAGATGTTCTATTCACCAATCAGTGTGAGCAGAGCAAACAGCTGGACCTGGCCATGCAGGTGACCGAGGTGATTGCCTACACCCACTGCTGTGTCAACCCAGTCATCTATGTCTTTGTGGGTGAGCGGTTCCGGAAATACCTCCGGCAGCTGTTTCAAAGGCATGTGGCCTTACCCCTGGCAAAATGGCTGCCCTCCTGCTTCGTGGACCAACCAGAAAGGGCCAGTTCCATGTCTCCATCCACAGGAGAGCATGAGCTCTCTGCTGGCTTCTGATTCAGACTCCTGGGCATCAGCCATGGTCTGGGAGAGAGAGAGGAGACAGCACATGGCTCTCCAGGGCAGACACTGGAGCTGTCACAATGAGGACTAACAATCTTATAGGGTCAGGGGGAACTTAAAGGTGGTTGGCTATAAGTCATCTCTTTAACACTTTGCTTGAATGTCTCTCTGTTGGATGGATGAGCAAAGTGGTATGCTGTAGACTCTGGGATAATGGGTCCCAATGAAGGCCTGGGGCCCAATGTGAGTTAGGATCTGTGGTTGTTAACAAACAAAGCTGAACTGAACTTTTTTTTTTTTTGGTTTTATGAGACAGGGTTTCTCTGTATTGTTTTGGAGGCTGTCGGTGAACTGAACTTTTACTAAACTCCACTCCTAATTATGTGACATTCTGAGAAAATTTCAAGAGAAGTATTGTAATAGAAAAGAATTTTGCATACTTGCATATTGACATTCATTATGAAAGATGTTATGCCAAAAATTTAAACTGTAACAAACTTAAGTTAATTCGTCTGGTTATTTTGAAATAATAAGCAAAGATACCACTAGATCACAGAATAAATGCAATGGCATTAGTATAAAAATACTGACCACAAGGAGTTAACAATAAAAATAATCCTTTGGTTACAAAAAGTGGTGAAGAAATATTATTTCATTTTATTACTGAAAATATGTAGTGCAGGTTCAGATAAGGCAAAAACAGTCACAGACAAGTGGTTTGAAATAAATGTACACTAGTGAAGCATTTCTGAGAAGCAATTTAAAAAGTTCAAGATCACTAAAAAGCTAAATTGCCCGTTTTAGAGTAATATTAGCAAATACTAGTAAGATGCCATATAATTTAATAATTTCATAAATATTAGATACCAGTCAATATAATGGCATATGATACAAACATATATTTGAAGAATTTGTGTTGATCTGGGATTACATTCATAATATGATTAAATTAAAATGGAAAACAAACAAAAAACTGGCAAGATGACTCAGCTGGTAAAGGCACTTACCACCAAGCTTGACAACCTCAGTTCAATGTTAAGAACCCACATGGTGAAAGGAGAGAATTGACTCTAACAAATAGTCCTCCGATCTCCCTAGGAGCACACATATATAGACACAAATAAATTAATGTAAAAATTAAAAAGATAAGATTCTTTTGGTTCACATTTTACACACAAAAAGAACAAAATAAAAGGATACACCAATCCATTTTCCTCTGCTATAATAAAATCCCTAAGGCCAGTACTTTATTAAATAAAGGTTTACTTAGCTCAAAGCTTTGGAGGTTCAATATGACATCCACCTCTGCTCAGCTCACCTAAAATCTTGTCACTGCATCACTACACAGTGAAGGCTTCATGACCAGAGCACAGGTGACAAAGCAAAAATCACATAGAAAGGCAGGGAGTTGAAGAGCTAGAAAGACCCGTCTCTTTTGGGGACCACTCAGGGTCCTCTGAGAATTCCCTTCCAAGAGTAATATCTCTGATAACATAAGCAGCTCACACTTGGCTCAGTGATATCTTACCATCCATATACTGAGAATCAAGTCACCATCATGAGTCCTTAGAGTTAACTCTCAGTCATATCAAGGAGAAGATACTCAGTGGTTATAGGTGTGGCAGGGTTTGATCCAATAGATAGGTAACTGTGTATGTAAACCACCACAGGACCTGAGACATGTTCCCTTTTTTTCAAAACAGCACAACAGCCTTGGCTCCACTTTCTTCTAAATATCACATTAGATAGCTGTTTTGGGGGCTGGGGAGGTGGCTCAGCAGTTAAAAGTTCTTGCTGCTCTGCAGAGGAACAATGGTCTCTTCTCAGCACTCACATCAGGCAGCTTACAACTACCTCTAACTCCAGTTCCAGGGAACTGAGCACCTTCTTCTGGCATCCTCTAATACCTTCATGCGCATGGCACACAGACAGACAAGCAGACACACACACACACACACCTTTTTAAAATTTTAATTTAAATAAATAAATAGATATTCTTGCCTAGGCTGTTCTGGAGCCCCACGGGGAAAGAACTCTGGGGAAGTGTAGTTATCTACAAAGTGTAGACTTATCTACAAAGCCTCCACGATCAGTGATGTTTATATTCTATCCACTTTTCAATACTGTCCAACTTTCAACACAGCAGTATCATAAGGAAAACCACTCTTTGTGAACAGAAAGAATGAAACAAAAAATGAGAGGAAAGAAAGGAGAAAGGGAGAAAGTTGAGGAGGAAAGAGGGAAGAGATAAAACGACAAACAGGTGTTTCTTAGATGAAAACACAACGTGATCATTCCAAGATGAGGGTTTAATATGAACAAATCCCAGAAGCATGACACCCTTGGATTATGGCACCAAGTTTAGTACAATCCCCATCGTGTATAAAGGAGCCAGGGTGCTAGGAAATGGACCATTGACCTGGCAGGAGGTCATGATAGACAGAGTCTGAGTTTCCTGGTTGACTCACAACACACATTAAACACAACCTTTAAAAGGACAGGTGTTTTCAAAGTCAAAGACCTGGAGTTGGCATTTTCATGTCTCCAGCCTTCCTTTACAGATGGGTAGTTAAAATAATGGCAGTTATAAAGACATTGAATAAAGGCCTTGTCAAATAGTGACAGGAACTCAAACCAGCCTCCTCTCACTACTCATAGTTCTTCTAGTTCCCCCCTGCCCTGCCTCTTCCCACTTTGTAAAAAGTATTTAAAGCTATCCATGCCCATTGCTGCATATACATTCTAATAGCTATTTCTTAAACACATCTGCCCCAGGCCTGGAAAGGAAGTTTAGTCATTTCTCTGAGTTCAGTCCCCTGCACTCCTCTGATGCCTTCAGGAAGCAGCACTTGATGTCATCTGAGTGCCTGTGGAGGCAAATAGTTTGCTCTTTGGCATTTTCTTACTTTGATATTTGATTCCTGAGAGAGAAGAAAAATAAGGGAAAGTGAGTCACCTTTGTAATTTAAATGTTGATTCAGTGTAGGAGAGATTACAAAAGTTTGAACAATTTTTACTTCTTTTTTTAGCATAGTAAATTAAAATATTTTTCATTTAAAATTTTTATTCATTTTACATACCAACCTCAGTTTACCCCTCCCACCCCCTTCCTCCCCTCTCCCCCGCCTGTTCTCCCACCCACCCCTCATTCACTCCTCAGAAAATGGGAAGACCTCCCATGCAGAGTCAACAAAGCCTGGCACTTCACTATGTTGAGGCAGGACCAAGCCCCTGTCCCCTGCATCAAGGCTGAGCAAGGCCTCTTACCACAGGAAATGGGCAACAAAAGCTGAGCTCATGCACCAAGGATAGATCCCAATCTCACTGTCAGGGGCCCCTCAAACAGACTAAGCTACACAACTGTTCACCTACATACAAATGGCCTAGCTCAGTCCCATGCAGGCTCCCCAACTGTCAGTCTCGAGTTCGTGAGTGCCCCAGGAGCTTGGTTCAGCTGTGTCTGTGGATTTCCCCATCATTATCCTGACCCCCTTGCTCATAGAATCCCTCCTCCCTCTTTGACTGTACTTCTAGAACTTGGCCTGATGCTTAGATGTGGATCTCTGCATCTGCTTCCATCAGTTACTGGATGAAAGGTCTATGATGACAGCTAGGGTATTCAACAATCTGATTATAGGGGAAGGCCAGTTCAGGTACCCTCTCCACTATTACTAGGAGTCTTAGCTGGGGTCATCCTTGTGGATTCCTGGGAATTTCCCTAGTATCAGATTGCTTCCTAGCCCCATAATGGCTCCTTCCATCAAGATATGTCTTTCATTGCTCTCCCACTCTGTCCCTCTCCCTCTCTCCCCATCCCTTATGTTCTCATCTCCCATCCCCTCCCTTCTACTGCCCCCCTGCTCCCAGTTTATCCAGGAGATCTCTTCTATTTCCCCTTCCCAGGGCAATACATTCATCCCTCTTAGGGCCCTGCTTTATTAATTTTTTTTTGGTTTTTATGAGACAGGGTTTCTCTGTATTGTTTTGGAGGCTGTCGGCCCAGCCTGGCCTCGAACTCACAGAGATCCGCCTGCCTCTGCCTCCCGAGTGCTGGGATTAAAGGCGTGTGCCACCACTGCCCAGTTTATTAAATATTTTTATCTCACTTGTTGCCCTGAAAGTAAATATGACAGATGAAACCAAACAAGCCCGCAGAAAAACTGAAGAGTCCATAGCTATTTAAATATTTAGGGAGACTAGAAACTCCCAAGAACTCCACCTTTATTTGTAACAGGTGTGGATAGACTGATTCTTCTTTTTGTGCATGTTCTGTTCCATAAGAGTAAAAAGGGGGGGGTGGACAGCCCTAAGGAGGTTAAATAGACAGATTCTAATGGCAGATGTCCTTCTGAATGTTGTGAATACATGTTTCTCTTATTGGTTGATGAATAAAGCTGTCTTGGCCAATGGACAGGCAGGATGTAGCCAAGCAGGAAGTATATGTGGGGCTACCAGACTAGGAGAAGGCTGGGAGGAGAACACAGAGAGTAAGTAGAGGGAGAGACGGCCATGTGGCTACTGGGAAGATAGAATGCTGGGCATTTTCCAGTAGGTCAAGACCATGTGGAGATACACAGATTAATAGAAATAGGATAATAATTAATAGAGAGCTAACCAAAAAGATGTCTGAGCCACCAGCCAAGCAGCATATAATTAATACAAGCTTCGGTGTGTTTATTTGGGATTACATGACTGTGGGTCCAAACGGGACAAAAACTTCCATCTACAGATTCAGTAACCTGCTAAAGCCAGAATAAAGCAGTTCAAACTGATGATGTGGATTTTCCCACCTCAATGAGTAGACTTTCAGTGTTTGGAGAAACTGACAAATGCTACAAATCAGTACATTCTTTGGAAAGACAGTGTCTTACCAGTGTCACATTATTTATAATATCCTCATTGAATGAAGTATTAACCTACTCTCAGTAATAACATAGAATATCATTAGAGAACTCATTATATGTTTGCACAACGATGAACTTGGGCCCACATTTAAATCATACACAGGAATTAACTAAATATAAGTCATAATGTTTGCCTGCTCTTGGAAACCTTTTCCTCGTACTAAACTGCCTAGTTCAGCCTTGCTGTGAGGCTCCATACCTAGATATGTTATAACTTGCTGTATCATGTCCAGTTGATATCCCTGGGAAGTCTGCCCCTTTTTGAAGGGAAACAAAGGAGGAATGGGTCTGGGTGACAGGAGAGATTGGGAGTGGTTACTGGGAGGAGTGGAGAGAGGAGACACTATGGTCAATATATAATGTTCGTGAGAAGAATTTTTCAAGGAGGGAAAAGGAGCCAGAATAGAAATGAGTGATAGATGACTTAAACATAAAAGTTAGGCAATGGAAATTTTAGAAGAAAACATTCAAGTAAAAATTTTTGTGTGGTCATGCAGGTGTGTTCATGTGCATATGGGTGCACATGTTTGAAAAGGTTTATGTATGTGCACCAGCATGGAAGTGACAGGACAACCTCGAGTGTAATTTCTAACAAGCCCTCCATTTTGTTTTGAAATAGAATCTCTCACAGGCATTGAACTTGCCAGTTGGGCCAGTGAGTTCCTGAAATTACAAGTATGTGCCACCAAACCTAGACTTTTTAAAAGATGGCTGATGAAATCAAACTCAGGCCCTCATGCTGTAAAGTGAGCACTTCACCAGTTGAACCACATGCCCGTGTTTTCAAATCTTTGTTTAAAGATCTGTTAAGCAAACAAACAATAGCAGCAGGCCACACCAGTGAAAAGATGCCTAAAAAAAGGATGGAGGAAATCAATATATCCCTTAAAGAATGCCAAAAAGTCAAGAAAAATAAGTGAAGGAAACTATTCCAGACCTGAAAATCTGAAAATCAAAATAGAAGCAAAAAAGAAAACACAAACTGAAGGAATTCTGGAAATGGAAAGTCTAGGTCAGCAAACAGGAACTACAGACACAAGCATCACCAACAGTTGTAAAAGATGGAAGAGAGAAGCTCAGGCATTGAAGATTTGATAGAGGAAACAGATTCATTAGTCAAAGAAAAATGTAAGCACTAAAAAGCTCCTAACACAAAACATCCAGGAAACCTGAGATACTATGAAAAGAAAACAAATACTAAGAATAATAGGAATATAAGAAGGATCCCTGCTCAAAATTTCAGAAAATATATTTAACAAAATTATAGAAGAAAACTTTCCTAACCAAAAGAAGGATGTGCCTATAAAGGTACAGGAAGCTTACAGAACACCAAATAGATTGAATCAGAAAGAAATATACATAACAATCAAAACACTAAGCAAACAGAACAAAGAAAGAATATTTTTTAAAAAATTAAAAGCTTCAAGGGGGAAAAGGTCAAGTAACATATAGTAGTGGACTTATAAGAATTAAACTCATCCTGAGTGAGGTAAAACAGACACAGAAAGACAAACATGGTATGTATTCACACATGAGTGGATATTAAACATAGAGCAAAGGATAACCAGCCTACAATCCATAACCCCAGAGAAGCTAGGAAACAAGGAGGACCCTAAGAAAGGCATGCATGGACCCCTGAGAATGGGAAAGGGACAAGATCTCCTGAGTAAATTGGGAACATTAGGGAGGGAGGGAGGAGAAAGAGGATGGGAGAAAGGGAAGGGGAGAGGAGAACATGAGGGAACAGGAAGGTCCAGTTGAGGGAAAAACGGAGGAGAGCAAGAAAAGAGATATCTTGATAAAGGAGCTATTATAGGTTTAACAAGAAACCTGGCACCAGGGAAAGTCCCAGGAAGCCACAAAGATGACCCCAACTAAGAGACTAAGCAATAGTGAGAGGCTACCTTAAATAGCCTTCCCCTGTAATGAGATTGATGATTACCTTAAATTCCATCGTAGATCCTTCATCCAGCAGCTGATAGAAGTAGAAGCAGAGATTCACAGTTAAACACTGAGCACAACTCCTGGATCCAGTTGTGGAAAGGGAGGAGTGATGAGCAAAGGGGTTAAGACCAGGCTGGGGAAACCCACAGAAACAGTTGACCTGGGAAAGTGGGAGCTCACGAACTCCAGACTGACAGATGGGGAACTTGTATAAGAGGGAACTAGGCCCCCTGAACGTCGGTGTCAGTTGGGGGATTTGGGCAGTCTATGGGGCCACTAGCAGTGGAACCAGTATCTCTATTTCATGAACAACTTTTTGGAGCCCATTCCTTATGGAGCAATACTCTCTTAGTCTAGATACAGGGGGGGAGGCCCTCGGTCCTGCCCCAAATGATGTGACATTGATGATCCCCCAAGGGAGGACTTACCCTCTCTGAGGAGTGGATAGAGAGTGGGATGGGGAGAGGGTGGGGGGAATGGAAGGATGGTAGGGAGAGGGAACTGGGATTGGTATGCAAAATAAGATTGTTCTTAATTTAAATAAAATTAATATAAATAAATAAATTACAAAATAAAAATAATAAAACCCGACTTCTCAGTGGATAAAGTCAAATTTAAACAATATCTAACCACATATTCAGCCCTACAGAAGGGACTAGAAAGAAACACCAACCCAAGGAAGTAAACTCCATCCATGAAAACATAGGCAATAAATAATCTCACACCAACAAAACACAAAAACACACACACACACACACACACACACATTACTACCAACAACAAAATAACAGAAATTGAAAACCATTGGTCATTAATATCTCTCAATATCAGTGGACTCCATTCCCCAATAAAAAGATACAGCCTAACAGAATAGATATGAAAACAAGATCCATCCTTCTGCTGCACAGAAGAAACACAACTCAACATCAAAGACAGCTATTACCCCAGAGTAAAAGGTTGGAAAAGATTTTCCAAGAAAATAGACATAAAAAGAAAGTTGGTGGGGCTATCCTACTATCTAACAAAATAGACTTCAAATCAAAATTAATGAAAAGAGATGGAGAAGGCCACCTCATATTCATCAAAGGAAAAATCCATCAAGAGGACATTTCAATTCTTACCATCAATGCCCTAAATGCAAGGGCACCCATTTTTGTAAAAGAAACATTACTAAATATTAAATCACACATTAAACACATTCATTGGTGAGAATGGGGTTTTGGAGTCTCCCACTACTAATGTGTGAGGTACAATATGTGATTTAAGCTTTAGTAATGCTTCTTCAAGAAAATCAACAAGGTAAACAAAATTAACTAAAAGTCACAGAAGGAATATCCCAATTAACAATATCAGAAACAAAAGTAGGGACATAACAACAGACACCAAAGAAATCCAGAGAATCATCAGGTCATACTTCCAAAACTTCTACTCCACAACACTGGAAAATCAAATAGAAGGGGACAATTTTCTTGATAGATACCACTTACCAAAGTTAAATCAGGATCAAATAAACCAGTTAAATGGACCTGTAATCCCTAAGGAAACAGAAACAGTCATTAAGAATCTCCCAACCAAAAAGAGCCCTGGGCCAGACAGTTTTAACTCAGGATTCTACCAGACTTTCAAAGAAGAGATAATACCAATACTCCTCAAATTATTCCACAAAATAGAAACAGAAGGAGCATTGACAAGTTCATTTTATGTAGCCACAGTCACACTCATACCCAAACCACACAGATTCAAGAAAGAAGGATAACTACAGTCCAATTTCCCTCATGCAAAAATACTCACAAAATAAATCTGAGAACACATCAGAAAGACCATCCACCATCACCAAGATGCTTCATCCCAGAGATGCAGAGATGGTTCATCTTATGAAAATCTGCCAATGTAGTTCACCATATGAATAAACTGAAAGAAAAAACCACATGATCATCTCATTAGATGCTGGAAGATCCTGTGACAAAAATCCAACACCCCTTCATGATAAAAACATGATAAAAATTCATGTTTTACCTAAACATAGTAAAGGCAATATACAGCAAGCCTACAGCCAACATCAAATTAAATGAAGAGAAACTTAAAGCAATCACACCAAAATCAGGGACAAGACAAGGCTACCCACTCTCTCCATATCTATTCATTATAGTACTTGAAGTTCTAGTTAGAGCAATAAGACAACAAAAGGAAATCAAGGGGATACAAATTGGCAAGGAAGTAATAAAAGTATCACTATTTGCCAGATGATATGATAGTATACATAAGTGACTCCAAAAATTCTATCAGGAAATTCCAACAACTGAAAAAATGAAGTGGCTGGATACAAGATTAACTAAAAAAAAATATTGGTAGCCCTCCTATATACAAACAACAAACAAGCTGAGAAGGAAATCAAGGAAAAAACACCCTTCACCATAGACACAAATAATATAAATTATCTTGTGTATCTCTAACCAAGCAAATGAAAGACCTGTTGATAAAAACTTCAAGTCTCTGAAGAAAGAAGTTGGAGAAGATATCAGAAGATGGAAAGATTCTCCCATACTCATGGATTAGTAGGTTTAACACAGTAAAAATGGCCATCCTACCAAAAGCAATCTACATATTCAAAGCAATCCCCATCAAAATTACAATGCAATTCTTTTCAGACCTTGAAAGAACAATATTTTGTTCTTTCATATTGGAAAAAAAAAAGCCAAACTAGATAGCTAAAAGGATCCTGTACAATAAAAGAACTTCTAGAGGTATCACCATCCCTGATTTCCAGCTTGCTACAGATTTGTGGTAATAAAAACTGCTTGGTATTGGCCTAAAAACATTCATGTTGATCAGTGGAATCAAACAGAAAACCCAGATGCAAATCCACATACCTACAGACACTTGATTTTTGGTAAAGAAGCCAGAAATACGGAAACAATGAAAGAAAAAAAAAGAAAGCATCTTCAACAAATGCTGCTCATCTAACTGGATTTCTGTATGTAAAATAATGCAAATCAATCCCTATCTATCACCCTACACAAAACTCAAGTCCAAGTGGATCAAAGACCTCAAAATAAATTCAAATACACTGAACCTGATAGAAGAGAAACTGGGGAATAGCCTTGAACCCATTGATTGACACAGGAGATACTTCCTGAACAGAACACCAACCCAAGTCTTCTGCAAGAGCAGCAAGTATCCTGTCTGACAGTGGAAAGTATGAAAATACTGGCATTTGTTATGTGGTAGGAGACCCTCAGAAACATTATGCTATGTGAAATGATTCAGCCGCAAGAAACCACCTCTTACACAACGTCTTTCACATGCCAAGTTCAGACAACAAAAACAGAGACAGAAAATAGATCAGCTTAAAAGAGCCTGGGCTGGAAACATAGACTAACTCTGAAGAGTATGAGTGAAACTTGTTAGAGGGGTGGCAAAAACAAACTTAGGGTGATGACTGTACCAAGTAACATTAAAATACTACTGTATCTTATGCATGGAGTAAATTATTTTATAATATGCAGAACATATCTCACATAAAGTTGCTAAAATGTATGCGGTTGTTTAAAAAACCTTTTTATCTTCAATTGTGTGGTGTGTGTGTGAGTGTATGCAATGCTCCCAGAGGCCTGAGGAGGATGTTGAATCCTCAGGGACTGGAGTAATAGTCAGTTGTAGACCTCCAGACATGGATACTGGGAATCAAACGCAGGTCCCATGCAAGAGCAGGACATCGTCTTAATCACTAAACCATCTCTGCAGCCCCTAAAATGTATGTGATTTTTATCCCTGAAGAATATTTGAAACTTGAAGAAACTACTGATGAAAGAATTCTACTTTTTTAGTGTCCAATATTTAATTTGGTTTGTGATAATTATGGCCTATATGTGATTAATGTCACCATTTTATGCAGACCATTTCATTATAAATACTTCATAAATAGTACTCTTGTCAAGTGTACAATATTCCAATGCAATATCATCAATTATCAGCTCCCTAAGAAATCCCAGAATTTAAAACACACAAACTTTTTGCCAAGCTAACAAGACTCAGAGCACCCGCTCCTACTTCCTCTGGAATGCTTCTCCATAATACTTAATCTTCAAAACATGAACATCCTCACAGTTGGCCTCACATATGCTTAGTGAAGTAAGACTTCATTTAGCATCTTCTATTTTAATAAACATGACTAAGTAATAGAACAACCACTTAATAGATTTTCAGAGCTTTAAATTAGATATTTGCTTCCACCTGACATTTTTTTTTAATGTGTGTGGCTTTTAGAAATTAGCTTTGCCGGGCTGGAGAGATGGCTCAGCCGTTAAAGGCTAGGCTCACAACCAAAAATATAAGAAATTAGCTTTGTCTTCTTAATAAAAGGGATACAACTGATATTTCTCAAGGAGTTTCTCTCTTGGATGTTCCACTCTCAGAGATGTTTCAGTAGAACAATTGTTGCAACAGGAAACAAAGCAAACATGTACACAGTACTAAACTGTTACAGTCTAGTCATATGACATGTCTTACAGCATTGTTTTGAATTGTCATATTACCACTATTACATTTGAAATACTTTGCACTCCATCCACTCTCATAGACCCTACATTTTTGTTGTCTGTAACCACCTATTTAACCTTCTGTAGTAGAAACCTATCCACAGTATGCTCAGGAATGAGCACCTTCTGCCCAGATGAAAGTGTCCTCTTAGAAAGACACTGGCTAAGTAATGGCCTCTACAGATAATAGGGTCTTAAATAGAGATAACAGAAGGGACTTTGCAGCTAGTATTAAGTCAAGGCTCTGGAGATGGAAATGTTATCCTAATAGATTTTAAATATGTAGCAAAAGTATTAAAGAGGAATACAGAGAAGATTCAATTACTTAAAGAGGAGGCACAGCTTCCCAAAAGCTACAGCTGAAGAATCATGCCAGGCAAGAAACAAAGAACGGATTTTCCTATGGAGTCACTAGACGAAGCCAGTTCTTTTCACCCCAGGAATAGTCATCTGAGACCCCCATCCACACTGTAGGAAATTACATCTGTGTTATTTTAAAATCACAGCTCTATGTGAAATGTTACAGTGATTACAAGAAATTCATATAGACAACATGGCCATGGTCACAGTTTTACCTTTCTTATACCCAACCATCCAGCCAAATGGCAATAGATAATTATCCCTCATTCCTTTCCCATCTGCACACATGATCCCCAAATGTCTCAGTGGTGTCTATTTTGTTATTGTTAAAACTGCTTTGCTTTTGAGACAAGTTCTTACTATGTAGCTCAAGCTAGCCTCAGGTTTGTTATGTAGCCTAGTCTGGCCTTAAACTCATAGTGGCTTCAAGCCCAGGGATTATAGACATTGGCTTTAAAGTGTGGCTGTATGTTTCAAATCTAAAGATCCATCTCAAGAATATCTTTATGGCCACTAAGATAGATGTTGCAAGACTAAGGTCACTTGCAGTTTTTCACTTCCACATTTCATCCCTCACAAAAGCTTAAAGAGTCTGCAAAAGGTTATTTCCAGGTCAGGAATCCCCCTATTATAGGCCAAAAGAAGGTCATTGCCCCTCTGTGTTCATATAGCAGCCTTTTTTCCTCTAGGAACCTGCCTTCTTCCAATTAATTTTCAAGGTTAATCTTCACTAATTCTGGGCCAAGAAACCTTGGACCAACCTCCAGCATGAGAACTGGGCAGCAAACAGTGAGCACAAAGAGCAGCTGGGAGAGATCAGGATCAACCCCTCTACCCATAAGCAATGAGAAGCTACTAAGAGAAATGAGGCTGTCAGGTTCTATGCACAGTAGTCATTGTGTATGTTCCCTAACTGGTTGTTGGTCTCAGTAAGATGTAAGATAACCATAGGGTTGCTTTAACTTTTGAATACTGGGCACCCATGTCACTTGATTTCTAAGCCCAGAGGTAATCATGTCCTTGTGTTCAGTTTTCTAGCAAGTGTCTCATAATTGGTTTTGATTGACTTAATTTACTATAGGTCTTCCCCACTTAAACGTAGTCACAAAACGGTTTCCTTTGAACAGCTATTCATCATAGTTCTTGTTTTCTGGTTCTTCTGTGTGACTAATTCATGAACAGAAGCATTAATTTACTTTCTTCCCTTCAAGTTTCAGCTGTTAGTCTTGGTTTAGTGGCCTGGTGTGTGAAGATCTTTCTGAACCTTCCTTCATATTTGTCATTTATCTCTGCATTAGTATTCCCACCTGTTCCTCCTCAAATTGATAGTATATGAGACCCGGTACCATACTTTATAAAGGAGTATAAAATAATTACTATAAGAGAACTACAAATTTAGCAAGCACTGTTAAGCTTTGTTTATTTATTTTCCCGACAAAGCCAACCGTCAATACTCTAGAGATAAAAGCAGCACAAAATTCACTAGAAACCATTGCTCAGGAGTGATTAGGCACAGAGATAGGTCCCAGGTCATAAAATCTGAAATGTGCTCACATGAAGACATAATTGTGTGAAATGGAAAGAAAGGAAGGACTTTGAATGGATTATTAAGAAAGAATAGAAGAAAAAGTACCTAGTGAACAGAACCATCAAAATTTAAAGAAAGCAGGAATGGAAGAGTCCTTGGGATGTTGGGATGCATTGTAACTACTTGCACAAAGTTGATCTTGTTATCTGAGTCACATTCCTTTATTTTTGAATATTCTTTGGAAGGAGCCTGTATTTTAGGTATGAAGGAGAAAAATGGCCATTCAAAGAGGAAGCAGCATTAGTAAAAGCTTGATGCTAAATCCAAAGAGTGGAGGAAAGCAAGTAGTACTTTAGACTCAACTTGAGCACATAGGCAGGGCTTCTTGCATCTGACAGGAGTCAACAGGATGGCCTAAGCAGAAAAGCATATTTATTGCACTATGTACGTGACATGTCTGGAAGGATAGGGGATGTGTAGGAGTA